CAATAGTAATACCGAGAAAAACAGTGGTATCTACAAGACTCAACTCCTCCCCATTTAAGAGCACATTGGTTTTCGAATGTTTTACATTAGATATTGTAAATTTAATACACTTTGTCTTATTGCCGTTTAAGAGCATATTGTTGGCGTTAACCCAATGTACTAATTTCGATAGAGCATTATTTACATCGTCATAATTAATTAACTGCCGTTGGAGTTTGAAAATTAAAGAGGTATCGTCAGCAAATAATACTATATCGTGATTGTCCCCTACAAGATAACGTAAGTCATTAATATAGATTAAAAACAGGAATGGGCCAAGAATCGAGCCCTGAGGAACGCCCATTGATACTACCGATGCGGAGGAACCTTTACCATTGATCACGACTTTTTGAGTTCTGTTACTTAAATATGAAGTAATAAGTCTAAGCGCTAAATTTTGTACACCGTAATGTTGTAGTTTCCTGATTAATGTCTCATGATGAACACAATCGAAAGCCTTGGAAAGATCACAGAAAATACCTAAGGTATCTTGTGAATTCTCCCAGGCATTAAAAATATATTTCATAAGCTCAACACTGGCGTCAGACGTCGAGCGACCCCTTGTAAAACCAAATTGGTTTTTATGAAGTAATTTATTTGTATTAAAAAAAAATTAACAATTGATCCAAAATTATTTTTTCAAAAATTTTACTGAGAGTTAGTAGTACAGAAATATCCAATGTACTACCAGATTTAAATAAAGGTATTACTTTATTATACTTCATTAAATCAGGAAACACACCAGAATCGATACAAGTATTAAAAATAATAGCAAGATGAGGTGCAATTAAATCTTTTTTTTTTATAGGAGAGGGGGCAAACGAGCATGCGGCTCACCTGATGGTAAGGGACTACCGCCGCCCATGAACAACCGCAACACCAGGTGAATTGCCGATGCGTTGCCGGCCTTTTAAAAAGGAGTAGGCTCTTTTCTTGAAGGTCCCTAAGTCGTATCGGTCCGGAAAAATCGCTGGTGGTAAACTATTCCACAAGGAAGTTGTGCGAGGAAGAAAATATCTTCTAAATCGCACAGTGGTGGACCGCCAATCATCCAGATGGTGTGGATGGTATCGGGAGTTCTGCCGCGATGTGCGTTCGTGAAATTTGGCGGTTGGAATTAATCCCAACAATTCCTCAGAGCACTCCCCGTGGTAAATGCGAAAGAAAATGCAACATCTCTTCGCAGCGCCAATGAGTCGAGCCGATCGGAAAGGACTCGGTCGTCGACGATTCGAGCCGCTCCGCGCTGGATGCGGTCAAGTGGAAGGAGCTGGCACTGGGGAGCCCCAGCCCAGAGATGGGAACAGTATTCCATGTGAGGCCGAACCTGCGCCTTGTAAAGTTGCAGGCGTTGAGCCGGCATGAAATACCGTCCCGCTCTGCTGAGCACGCCAAGCTTTTTAGAGGCCAATTTGGCTTTCTCTTCCAAGTGACCACGAAACTGCACGTCACTCGATATGTTGACGCCGAGGATTCCGATACTGGCTGAGGCAACAAGGGGCGTACCTTGAAACGAGATACGACAAAGGGATTCTTTATAGCGGTATCTATTATGGACGCAATAACTATAACGGAAATCCCCCACAAATCTGCGGTTTTCTTTACATCAATGGTTTTAAAGTATTTTACAATATCTTGCGGTAATACTTTTTCAAATCTAAATTCTTTTAAATAGATATTAACATTCTGTTTGAGTAATGACTCGGCGACAGTTGGAGAAGTATTCAATGACTCTGTTGTCGAGATAGGAATATCAGTGAAATATTTCTCAGACACTGCTGCGACTTCTTCATTTGATTTAGTCAATTCATTGTTAATTTTTAATTGATAGTTTGAGTTACGAGGTTTTTCTTTACCGGTTTCGCTGTTAATTATATATGATCTTTCATGGTAAAGGTAATATAACCTTCGTCAGCTTTTATGAATTCCTAGTGTCGCCCACTCATTAAATGGCTTGCGACTGTTTCTGGAGAATGTTTTAGAAGTAAATGTTTTTTTAAATTTATTGCTTATAAGCTTAAATAATTCTCCATATAAATAGTCTGCATTGTTCTTATAACAAAGCGAAGGAAGGTTTTTTACCATATTACTTCTAAATCTCTCCAGGCGTTTTGCATCAATAGGAACAAACACAGTTTTCTCAATTTCCTGTTTTTTGTGCATATAATGTAATGAAACCAATTGTCCACAATGATCTGAATTAAGTTTTTGAATTATTGATTTGTTGATTACATTTGTTGGTACAACACCTGTAAAAATATTATTAATACAAGTTGCACTACACCCTGCAATACGTGTAGCTTCAAATAATAAATTATCAAGATTATAGGATTTGAACAAAGAGCCAAATTTAATACTGATGGAAGAAGTTTCCAGGAGATTGATATTAAAGTCTCCACACACTACAAGTGATTTATTCTGTTTATTAAGCTTAACTAAAACTTCTTCCATAACTTTTTCAAAGGTATCATAACTTGAACATGGGGGTCTGTAAACACTGACAACAAATGAAAAAGTGAAAATAAGTACCAAACCGTTCTGGTTTTGACTGCCTGGGCAGCGTCCTTCTAACAACAAATAAAAAAACTGCGTTTGTGCTGCTACAACCCGCCTGCCAAGAGTGGCAATTATGGCAAATATCTCTCACATATGAGACAATCTATGGGGAGGCTTATTTAGCAGTGGACTTTTGACAGGCTTTAATGAATGAAAAAAAGTAATGGAATGGAGAACACAAAAGGGTCAAAATATTACTACCAAATACTATTAAAATCGTAGCAAAGATCATGTACATTACATTAGTTTTTATTTCACTTCAATACATGCAGTATTTCCGAAGTTATAACGACGAGAAGTTTAAGCCCTTTTTTGAGTTTCAGAGATTATTCGCGCTTACACTATGACGTCACACCCCCGCAGACCGCGACCGCGACACAAACGCGGCACTCGGTCCGGTGCCGTTTGACCAAATTACGCGGGTTTCATTTCATTTTCTTTCGATCGTCTTTGTATTCTTATTACTTATAGTGTTTGTGCTTGTATTTCAAAGAAATAATATTATCCTCTAAATCCGATTACACTAAAATGAAACGTGTAGTGCTAGAATGGAAGAAGGTTTTGTAAAAAGACAGTCGGACAATCTGCCCAGAGTGGATAATTTGATGGTGGCACAAAATTTCATGAAGAATCAGGATTTCATGGCTGCTGAAATTCGTGGAATAAAGATGAAAAGGTATGTACCTATGTTCTAAGTAAGCATTAGGTACCTACTCTCCTTGATAAGCATTAGTTTAAGGTTGAACAAATACCTATGTAGGCATTTGTACAAACTTAAACCTAAATGAAAGTTTGTGTGTTTCATTTAATACTTACCTAACATGGGTGGCGATCAAAAATACTAGGTACCTATTCGTAATCCACATCTCGAGGTTGTCGCTGATTATCTTGTGTTTTATTAGTTTAAACTAACAGAAAATGTCAATATTTACCCATGTACCATATAACAGATGTGGGTAAGTCCTACTACCTAGGTATTTACGTAGTTATCAGTTTTCTAACTAGACAAATAGGTACCTGTTGTTCTATTGTTATAGTAAAACAGATACTTACCTATATTTGATTAATTTTATCCAATGCCCGTTTTAGTTCATCAATTACAGTTTTTTTTATTAAAACATTTAAAAAATCAGTGCTGATTAATTTGTGGGTCGCAAATTTTACTTACCATTTTTATTGGTAATTTATTAATGCCCGACGCAAAAAGAGGGGTGTTATAAGTTTGACCTCTATGTGTGTCTGTCTGTGTCTATATGTCTGTCTGTGTGTCGGTATGTCTGTCTGTAGTACTGTAGCTCATAAATGGGTGAACCGTATTGTTTTTTATTTTGTATTTAATGTTGTTTTTTAACAGTGGTTCATAGACATGTTTTATCAAAATCGGTTAAGCCGTTCTAACAGTACATTTAAAACGTACGTTTCGAAAACCTAAATAAAAACCGTGTTTAATGTATGTACGTTGCTATCATTAAAAAAATACAACGAAAACTAAGGATAAATGCGGGCCGCGAGTTTGATACTTCTGACATCGGGCCGCGAGTTTGATTTTGTAGTAGGAAGAAAATATATATTTATTTATATTTTGTATGTTTTGCCATATGTGTATTTTGCGGCCCGCCAATACAGTTGGTTGAGGAACACTGCACTGCTCTGCTACTAGGTGTTAGGTAGTTGGTAACTTTGGCAAGATACCTATCTATTTAAACAATCAAAGTAGACAAGTAGTTATGTTTAGTAGGGCAATGATAGGTAAAGAAGAAGGATAAGCTTATTACTTACAAAAATACTTACATCGAAATGGTCTTCACAGCAGTGCGCTTTAGTTTTAGGGCCTATTGAATCGACTATTTTTACGGCTGTCATCCACTTTTTCCTCATTTTTGGGTCCTCAAGCACATAAAAAAAAAGAGTTTATCAGGTGTTTTAACTGTTATGTTAACTGTACTTGTTTGTTGTACAGGCACAATACAGTATTTTTCTTTCCATTTTTACCACAGACAACTTTAAAATTTTGATTTTTACTGCGCAGTGGCGTACAGACGAGAGCGCGATTGTTGTTTGAGCGGGAGTGTGACGTCATCGGCTAGTGAGCGCCCGCCCGCGTTTTTAAAAATCTTCGTTCGGAAACACGCACTTTGATCGTTAATATCTCAGCCAATTTTTAAGATATGAAAAAAGTAAAAACACAGTTTTTCTCGTACTATTTTGTAGACTTATTTGGCATGTAAAGTAAAAAACGTTTGTGAGACCAATTAAAAAAAAACCAGAATAACAATGATTATTATTTTTAATACTTAAAATAATATTTGTCAACTACATTGATTAGCTTAAGTAGATATACATTCGACAGCAACATTAACATCGTTAAGTAACAATTCCTTAAAAAATAATTCATTCATTCATCTTCAACTGGACCCGCTTTCGCAAACTGCAACGATTTCTGCAACAAATAGAAATTATCGGTATTTACATTATACGTGATGTATGTATATGTATATGTGTTTATGAATACCTAATTGTATAAGTAATATATGTTGAGCCTTAATTATTTTTCTTATATTGGATCTCCAAAGTAGTGTTCTTTGGTTACTTACAGGTTGACTTGTAGAGAACGCCTTAAGACGTTCAGTCTGCCTTTGTACATTTTTGTCCAACAGTTTAAATAACTAAAACTAAAAATTACTCAATATTGTCCTAAGAATGTGGTTTTTATAACCAACAGTCTACCTGAATGTAAGTGGTTATTGCAGACTGGCCTATGTAAACACTCCAGTAAAAACTTTAAGGAAGGAAGGCTACAAAGAGATGTGCTGTCAACCCGGAGGACCAAGATGAAATGCTTCACAGTCTGTAATTTTTTTTATAGAATAACATTGACAAATTAGCACACAGTCCACCTAATGGTAAAAAGATACTGTGACCCATAGACATCAAAACCTATTTTCGGTTTAAGTATCAAAATGCAGAGAGCGTTGTCACTCTTGAGGACTAAGATGGAATGCCTCGTTTCCAGTAAAAATGGTCTCCGGTTCTCTACGACCACCGTACGAAACACAGTAGCATTAATCTGCTATTTTACGTTAATTGTTCTAAAAAAGAGTAGGCTCTTTTCTTGAAGGTCCCTAAGTCGCATCGTATCTCCCTTATCATTTCAGTCGGAACACTACTGTTTTGGCCCAAAAGACAATACCCAAAACTTTTGGGTATTTCCTATTCAGAATATGATGTCTAATCGGAATAGGCGTCCCATCATCAATAAAATACGACACAAGATTTTCTAAGGAAGGCCGTTCTCAGTTCAGAATCGGTTACGTTTTCCCATTTACTTCTTAGTTGTTTAAAAAAACATTACCCCCACTTTGTCCTTATCGTGGAGACAATTTACATATACATAAATCACACAAGGACAAACATCCAGACCCGGATCAATTATTTATAAGCCATACAATACTTGTTCCGTGCGGAATTTGAACCCGCAACCCGCAGGCCTCAACTCAATGCTAAGCCACTGCGCAATGGAGCCCGTCATTGTGATAAAGAAATCAGACACTTCATATATTTTTACAGCATACGCTGCAAGAAATGTCAATAATATAGGCTAGGAACAGGAATGGACCGAAAATTTAGCCTTGAGGAACGCCCATTGATGTAGTCGACTTGGAAAAACTTTTACTACTATAAACGATTGAGTTTTAATGGAAACTTGACCGTCGGCGGATTGTTGATCCTGTTTTATTATTTAAATAATGGTTTGAAATGGATTTTAATACGTAAAAGTGATGTGATTTACGTATTAAGTGTCTGTACATGTGAACTATTAGGAAACGACGAAACAAGTGCTCAGATATAAACATCAAGTTATTTTGTCCACGTAGATACATTAAGAACTCGATGTAGATGCGTTGTCACCCCTGAGAATGAAGACAGAATGCCTCGTTATCAGTTAAAAGGGTCTCCGTTTATATATACTCATCATACGTAGCTCAACAGCATTAAGCTGCTATTTCACGTTGGTATTCTGTGAGAGAGTGGTCTGTTTGTCTATGTGTCTCTCTTTTATTTTGTTTTCTCTGACTTTCTCTCTCTTTGTGTAATATTATCAGGTGTGTGCGTGCGTCGTGCGTGAGTGTTTGTGTGTGTGTGACTCACTGTCGACGATGTCGCGCAGCGCTGTGCTGGCGGGCGAGTGGGGCAGCTGCTCCAGATAATCTCGTCCGGAGTCGCAACATCTTGCCAGCAGCGGGTCCAGCGGCAACGAACCCAGCAGCCTCGCTCCCATCTCCGCGCACATGTGCTGTGCGCCGCCCGTCGTAGCAGGGAATATCTCGCTGCGGCTCTGAATGACAACTCTTTTTTTATTCAGAAGGTAGGAACATCTCATACATGTTCTAATCGGTGATCGAAATAGAATCGAAAATTTTTAAGTTTGTATTTCACTTTTAACCGCACATTAAAAAACGGACATCTCATATATTAAATTTAAAATAAACGCTTTTTTTCCCTCCAGACTATAGAAAAAGGAACATTTGGAATCACGCAAAAGTAAATAGTAATTATTTGTTTTAAAATTCATTACCTACCATCTCAACTCTGTGGAACTATTTTAGCACAGACTATTGAATGTTTGACATTGGCAGTATGCACGGAAATAAACGACAGACATGTGTTTAAACAATGATGTAAGATATATTACATATAAATTTTAGCTTTCTGTACTCCTTCTCCATATAATCTTTAACTATATCAAATCTCACACTACACCACCGAGCGCGCAATATGCTTAAAAAAGAATACAGATTTAATTTCACATATTAGTTAATAGATAAATAATCTATACTAATTGTTTTATTAAAAATTATACTGGTTGTTTAATTAAAAAAGTATAACAATAATATTTATTAGTTCCCAGTAGAGAATAAAATGGCCAGCCATATTAAAAACTCTTGTTCCTGGACCGATTGCTTTTAAAATCAATATCCGAATCCAAGTGGTTTATGTAAATAAATAAATTATATATATTATATATTATTTATAAATATATATATATATATATTATTAATAAATAAAATAAATAAATTCGTCGTCAAAACTGAAAAAAGTAGCAGCTCGTTTTCTTGTTTAATGACCGATCAAAAGCGATATTTTCGAGTCTTTCTGATCGTAAAAAAAATAATCTGTTGACAAATTAAAAAAAAAAGATCGACTGATTGAAATTTTTGTTATGGACCAATTGCTTCATCAATATCCGGGATTTATAAAATCAATATCTAAGAGTCTAACGAACTAGTCATGACAAAAACGGCTGCCATTTTTAAAACTCTTGTTTCTAGACTGACTGCTTATGAAAACGAAAAAGTTCATAATGGCGGCCACATTTTTTAAATTTGAAAAGCCTCCAGCCATTCGATAACTGGTCTTTCCAACAAAAGAGGCCTGTCCAGAAGTGGACGTTTATCGGCTGATGACAAAGGAACCAAATGAGAGTTAAGATCATTAAATCTTCCGCCTACTAGATGTCGCTAGTTGGGACTGAAGTGAAGTTTCTTTGTTACACAATGTCATATTTTTAACTTCTTTTTAAATTTTTCTACTGTTAGGAATATCCGTAGTTTTGTTATTTATTTCTAATCTAATTAAAATAAAATATATCTAATATTACAAAAAGAATTATATTTTTTCTAACAAATTAACTTCTCTGCTATGAAATCTGTAAGATATTTCACCTCATTCCAAAGTAGCACCGCCCTAGTGTCAGAAAAAGCCCGCATTAATTGGAATGTATTAACTTGTTCACTTACGTTACAATTAGGGCACACGAATAGCGACATGTTCTCGACCACACCGATTACTTTGACGCCCAGCTTCTCGCAGAACTGTAGCTCCTTGCGCACGTCGAGCAGAGCCACCTCTTGGGGAGTGGTCACCACCACCGCACCGGTCAGCTTCGCGGCCGACAAGTACTGCACCGCCGACAGGTGCTCGTCCGACGTGCCTGCACATTTAGCCTAATCGGTATACTAATTATTAAACGGTTAAACTCAATTGGTCTAGTCTTGAGGAAATTATGAAAACAAGTTGTTTTTAAATAAATTGACTAAAAAGTTTAAAATTTAATATTTTATATACTAAAAATTTCTATAGAGCAACACCGGCCGCCTACGGATCGGAGGGGAGTAGCCATACGCAGGCGTCCTCCTCTGTCTAAGTATAAGCCCACGCGGTCCTATGCGTACAATAAAACTAGTTGCATCAGCACTACTCACTAGACTAAATCTAGTTGCGCGGCTGAGTCGATGTCCTATAAAAATGCCAAACTGTTCAGGTTTTTTTCAACTTTGCTGCAAAAAAGAGCTCTGTCACGTCAAATTTACAAAAAGATGGCATTAAAACTTGAAAATTACAATAATAACGGTCGTGCTGTTTCAAATTTGTTTTATTATATGTGAGTTTTTTGTAGTGACAAACTTTTATTTTACTGTGTGCAGATGTCCTCCCGCAAAAAATGACAGACAGATTTGTATAGGAAAAAACGCTATGGCTACTCCCATCAGATCGTAATATCGATGATTAAATAGTATAGTTAATAGTATAGAATAGTTAGAGGCGACAGAGGGAAACTAAAACAGGAGATAGACAGCAGCATCATCCCGATAACAACTAAAAATTATAAGAAACCGCGGTTGCCAATGCGTCTGCCAAAATCGCGGGGATTTTTTTGATTTTAAGATTTTTCAGCAGTGGACATTTAAGGCTGTAATGAATGGAATTAATGAAATTTAAATGAAGAAAATTTAAATACATGTAATTTTTAAAACAACCTTTATTTTAGTTTACCGGCGTAGTATTTTACTTATTTATTTATTCTTTATTGCAACACATTTCAACCAGAGGTTACAAAAGGCGAATGCCTTTTCTTGATCCGCCATTTGGTGACCCCTGCCATAGGGCATTAAGCCCTATGGCAGGGGTCACCAAATGGCGGATCGCGGTCCGAATCCGGACCGCCGACCTATTTTGTGCGGTCCCAGAGGAATCTAAATATTATTGTAAAAATTTGGGGTAATTCAATTTTCTTCTGTGTTAAAACACAAATATTCGAAAGTTCTTTACCAAAAATTTTGGATAAAATCAGTGTGTGGTAATAAATACCTAGAACTAAAATTTGGCGTTGAAAATTTGTAGAATGTTTGGATCAACATATATTTATGAACGTACTATCAGACATAATATACACTTAATATCAGATTTTCAGACAGATTGTTCAGATTAAATGCCAATATTCGCCTAAATATTGGGTTACTTTACTTTACTTACTATGTTATTTTTTAATTAGATGTATCCATAATAAAAAAAATCTGATTTCTTTTGTTTTAATTTTTTAATTGACATTTGAAATCTCAGTTCCTAGTCATTATATAGCAAACGGACCGCGACAGATTTATATATTTTTTTAAACGAACCCCCAATTAAACGAATTGGTGACCCCTGCCCTATGGTATTCTCTACCAGTCAGTCCTATAGTATTGGTATAGGTAAAGTACAAAAACAACAGAAACTCAACTGCCACAAACAACAGTTGAGGTTAAGTTTACTGACCTGGTGGTGTGTCGATTAACAGATAATCCAGGTCTCCCCAGTCTACTTCACTTAGAAACTGCTTGATCATACCTGTTGCATAAAAACATTACTATCTTTATGTGTCTATTTCTTCTGTCCTTGTGTATGTGACTGAACGCCTCCTAAACGACTGGACCGATTTTGATGATTTTCTGTGTGTATTTGCCTGGCTTCCTAGATGGTTTACATTTACAATTGGTTCCGGTAGGTGGCGCTATTGTCGAGATTAAGAAATCACCCACAACATAGATTTAAAAACACTATAGACATTTTCGAAGGCTACACATTCAAAAATTTTAAGTTATACGTGATAGAGCACGCTATAGCTGTTTTATGGATGCCGCACGAATGGGTCGGCTCGACCGGGGAAGGAACACGCTCTCACAGAGTACCAATATGAAATAGCAGCTCAATGGTGCTGTTTTTTGTATAAACAGTAGCCTTCGAGTTACAGAGAAAGTCCGGGTGTAGGCCTACGTTCAGCGGCTAACGTGGATTTTAACGGTTTTAAATGTGCCTGCCAAGCTTGGGGCGACTGCATATTTTCCCAATAAAAAAATCCATCGCTACATTTCGTCACGTTTTAATTAACCCTTAAATGCATCTTGTATCGATATTGATACATTGCATTCTAATCGTTTTTATCGGTTTTTTATTTGAAGTACAGCATAGGCTGAATGTTTACACGTTTCTTTGCCTTATTGCCCACAAACAAACAAAAATGTCATGTGTCAATGTTATTTCTGAAGGATGATTTTCTTGTCTGTGCTAAGGACATCAACGAGGTGCGCATAATCATAAGACTGAGTTTTTCATCTAGCGGCGAAAACGAAAATAAGTCGAATTTTTACCAATAAAAATCACAAAATGGATGGTAAGTCCTTCATTTACTTGAAAACATTTGAAATTGCACGACTTTCATGTGTTTACGTGAGCAAATATCGCATTTTATGTTTGTATCGAAAACGATACAGCATGCATTTGATTCCCGCCTAAACCCAATTCAATTGTTTGTTCATAACGGTATTGCTTATGATTTTGCTTGCTTTTGGATACACAAAACTATACGTTTACGTTGTTAATATATAGATGAATGCATATTTTTGCTTTTCAGAGCAACAAATAGAGGATATGCTCAGGAGGTTGGAGAATGGTGACATTTCGGAAGATGATTTAGAGTCAGATGGAGAAGATATTTCTTATAACCCATATCTAGGAGCCTTAGCAGCTGAATTAGAGGACGATGAAGACGTTCTTACGGGACAGGACAATTCAGAAGATTTTCTGGACCAACCATTGATTCAGGATGAGCAGCTTATGCAAGGCGCACAGTCGTTGGAGCGAGTGGAAGCACAACCGACTGAATCTCTCATGAATTTGAGGAATTTACTGTGGAGAAAACAGTCTTTTCTATTTGATGAGAATAACATCAAATTTGGTGGGTCTGAAAAGTTACCTTCATCTATAATGGAACTGCAAAGTCCGTATCAGTTTTTTACCTACTTTTTCACGAATCCGTTTATGGAAAACATTGTTACTGAATCAGCACGCTATGCTGTCCAGAAACAACCTGACAGACCTGAAATATTCACAGTGGGTGAACTTCGCAAATATTTTGGTATTTTAATATTTATGTCTGTTTACCATTATCCGAGCACAAGGTCGTATTGGTCTAATAAATTTGGCTTCAGTCCCATCAAAGAGGCAATGCCAATAAATAAATTTGAGAAAATGCGAAAGTTACTGCACTTCAATAATAATGATGATCATCTGCCAGTAGACCACGTGCAGCATGACAGGCTTCATAAGTTACGTCCTATAATCACCCATTTAAATGAAAAGTTCTCTAGCGTGACCATCGAGCAGCGATTATCTATAGATGAACAGATGTGCGCCACCAAAGTGGGACATTTTCTCAAACAATATCTCCCCAACAAACCCCAGAAATGGGGTTTTAAATTGTTTGTTTTATGCAATTTGAGCGGTTTTGCTTATAGATTCATAATCTACTCTGGGAAAGAAGCTAATGAAGGATCCTCAAACAGTCAAAAGCTGGGAGTTGTAGGACAAACAGTTATGAATTTGCTGAGTGTGGTACCCAGGCAAAGAAATCATATTGTCTATTTTGACAATTACTACACATCTTTGCCATTGATGTGTATACTTACTAAGCAAGGTATACATTCCCTAGGCACTATTCAAAGAAACCGACTGGGAAAAACTTGCAAGTTGCCAACTAAGCAGGATGTTATGAAAAGTTCAATTCCAAGAGGTTCTTATGAAGAGTATGTTACAAATTTTGAAGGTATTGACATGACAACAGTAAGTTGGAAGGACAATAAGCAAGTTGTGTTAGCGTCGACATACGTTGGAGCATGTCCCGTAGGGAATATCGAACGATTCGATAAAAAAGAAAAAAAGAGGATTCTTATCACGTGCCCAAAGCTAATCAGGGAATATAACATGCACATGGGTGGTGTAGACCTCATGGATTCCTTTTTAGGAAGAAATAGGATTCGAATGAAGAGCAGAAAGTGGTACATGAGAATCTTCTATCACCTGCTTGATTTAACAGTAATAAATTCGTGGGTGTTATATAAAAAAGTTGAAGAAAAAAAAGGAAACCACAAAAAAATCATGACCCTTGCAGACTTTCGATCAGAGTTGGCAGAAACTCTTTGCAAATATAGTCCCGCTAACAACAGAGGGCGCCCAAGCACCAGTGCAATTAGGGAAGATCAACCCCCACTTAAAATGCGAAAAGGGAAACCTTGCCAAGTTTTGCCACCCCTTGAAGTTAGACTCGACCAAATGGATCATAACATCATGAGAACAGAAACACGTGGTCGATGTATGATGCCATCATGTAATTTATTAAGTATAATTAAATGTTCTCTAAGTGCAATGTTCACTTATGTAGTAAGAAATCCAAAGATTGTTTCACCCATTTTCACAATTCTTCAACTTTGTAAAATCATGATTATTTTGCAAAGCTAATGCATACTGTATCGAAAACGATACAAAAATATTTTTATAAAAAAATAAATGTTCCCGTTAATATAGATTTTTTATTTTATTTTATTCAGTAAATGTTACGCCTTTATGAGACAAAATAATTTTTTTTGGGTAAAAATCTTTTATTATGCATTTAAGGGTTAACAATACTATAGACATTTTCGAGGACTACATATTCCAATTACCGTGTAGTGGCGGTGTAAGAATACCCACTACCCCATATCTCCCCTTGAGTGTCGTAAGGAGCGACAGAGATAAACTGAGACAGGAGATGGGCAGCAGCATATTTCTGATAACAGTAAAATTACAATAAAAAAACTCCAAACTATGGCAAACATCCCCCATGAGCAACGGCAATCCTTGTGGCAGGCCTATATTCAGCAGTGGACTTGTCAAGGGCTGCAATTATGATGGCAATTCCAACATCTTAAAATTTCTCTGCATTCGAGATGCCGGGAAACTCAAAGAGTAGGCCTGCGTAAAGCAATGAGGGAGGGACGTAGCGGAGTTTTCCTGACGTTGCAGCGAAATATTCTCCCGCCTCATATAGCTGGGAAGCGAACCTCAAACTGGTGCTGCGAGCGAACACTTGTTCAGAACCACCCGGTCGCGTACGCACGCATTTCGACTACATCTTATATATCTGTACTAATTAAATTATACAATCTACATATCGAAGTATTTATTTCATTCAAGAATTGCACCAGCACAAGTGGAGCTTGTATCTCAACACTACAACGTCTACATGCCAAGCTTGGGGTGACTTGGGGTAGTAAGAGGAGATTCTCAATGTCCGAAACATCTAATGGTTTCCAAGGTCATTCATGCCACACTTAAAATACCCAGGGTACCGTCAAAGGTGCTCACGTCTTGTACTGCGATCATTCATCTCCCTGTCAAGAGTGACGAGGCAAATCTTCCACTCCCTACCGATAGAGCCCTATGCCAAGGTGTGGATTATTGCGGGCTGATGAAGACATGATGAAATATGACCAGCAATTGATATAATTATGAGGTTTCATAAACAATTGCAAAGATGCAAGAGCGTGACGTTGGCACTTTGGTCGTCATTAATTAAAAAAAAAAGAAAACTAAATCCCCACATTAGGATTTTCTCCTATATCTTGGAGACAATTTACATATAAATTGCAAAAGGACAAACATCCAGTGCCGGAAAAATTATGGTGCTTTGGGACTATCCCGTTGACCGCTCAACGCTCGCGAATTTATTTATGGTTAACGATTATATCAATATAATGTATGTGGCTATGGGGTGGCCCAATGGCCAGCCGGACCGGAGAGGTCGGGGTAATCCCAAAGCACAAAAATTGTTTGCAGGCCATACAAATATTTGTTCCGTGTGAGATTCGAAGCCGCGCAATGCAAAATCACCGCAAAAAGGAGTCGTCTATTTTGCTATATTGTTTAGAATCAATGAAATGCTTACCATTTTTCTTAGGCCCCCTCCAAATAACAGCGTCGTCGGGACTACCCAATAAAAATCCGATCGACATCAGAGACAGATTGTCTTTGACATACTGCAGATAATAAAGTTTACTTTAGTGGGTACATCAATAAATTAATATCAATCAATATTATATTCAATGCACGATATTCGCTCAGAATACCAGCGAAAATAGCAGTATAACGTTGCTGTGCCTCGTACGGTGAGTGACAACAACCGGAGACCCTCTTTACTGATAGCGTGGCATTCCATTTTAGGCCGCAAGGGTAGCAAGTAGCAACGAATCTACATTTGGATTCTTAAAAAGGACAGATGTAAGTATTTTTCGTGCACACAAAATTTACCAACACGTGAATAGTGTACTCATTTGTCTTTAACTAGATGTATTAGAATTTCGGGAAATTATTTTTTTAAACCCGACGCAAGTTCCCAGGAGACCCTTTTTACTGGGAACGAGGCATTCGATCTTAGTTATCAAGGAAGACAACGCATCTGCATTTAGATTCTTAATCGAAGATAGATGCAGATGTCTATGGGCTACAGCATCCAATAACATCAGGTGGACTATGGACTCGTTTGTCACCATTGTTATATTAAAAAAAAAACACGACTGTCTCGTTATGGTCACATATTCTATCATACAGATATTTTATATGGCAATACTCGACTGCCATATATATAGCTGGGTTTAGTTAATTAGCCTTTTATTACACCGTAATACCAAAAAAGGCAACATTGATACGGATCGAGCAACTAATTGCCATTCCCTAAAAAGCACGCAGCGGTTACATAATGTCTATATTATCTAACGTATATTACACGTTAGATTAACTTTTAACCGCACATTTTATTCTCCTTCTCACTATTAGCTGTGCTATGATAGATGCTGTTAGTTTTAATTAGAGCAATTTCGAAAACCTTTCCACTGTATACTCAAGTACAATATCAACATATCAGAAGAGTACAACTTTAGTCTTAAAATAAAAAGAACAAAATCTAAAAAATCATTATAATGATTATTTAAGTTATGTGTATTTTTTATCTGAGCCGCTCGTAGCAACATAAATAATATATTTGTTTGATATATTTATCACTTTTTACTGAATACGAGGCATTTCCATCTTAGTCCTCACGGGTGACAACGCACCTGCATTTTGATTCGTAATCGAAGATAGATGTAGATGTCTATGGGCCACAGTAACCACTTACCATCAGGTGGACTGTGTGCTCGTTTATCACCCTTATCTAATTAAAAAAAAAGCCAGAGCTTGACTACTATCCCACCTGATGGTAAGTGGTGATGTAGCCGAAGTTGGTGAAGCGCACTGATTTAAGAAAAGCCTATTCACTTTTGCCTCGAAGACGCCCACGTTGTAATCGGATGGAAAGACACATGCTGGCAACTTATTCCACTATGCTACTTTGCTGTACGCACGAGGAACGATGAAGCAACGGTTTGGTTCGAATGCGTGGTAAGTCGACAACGAAAGGAAGAAGACTGACCGAGCGCATGGTTGTCCGATGGCAGAAGCGCGAGGAAGGAATTAATTTATGCAATTTCTGCGCACACCATTTACAATGCTTTCGCCATTGCGCAATTTAAACGTGAACGCACACTTATACGAGCCGAACGAATCGAAGTCAAGGAGGCCTCGCATACATATCTGCACCGAAAGAATCGAGCGCACTGAAAAAATCGACCGCACCGAAAGAATCAACCGCGCCGAAAAAATCATTTCCATTTCCTTTACACCTGTCGTCACTGCAATTACATGTGAATTGTGATGGATCTTGACAAGTTTTTATTGTCAGTGCTTTACTAATGGGAAATGACGAAAGAACTAATTAATTTAAATTAGAATCAACCGTTTAAAAAAATGAAGAATTAGTACTCGCACATTGCTCTGTCGCACGCAACTGTCGGAATGCAAGCGCATCGGTCGATTCGATTCGACTGCATCGCCCGCGCCGTATGTGATGGAGTGATCTCAATTAGTCTAGGATTTCTGGGGTTCATCTAGATTCGACGCAGACAGGTGTGCGAGGTTTCATATGATTTCATATAAAGAATTAAAAAAATCGTTTCTTTCGACGCGTTCATCTCGTATAGTGTGCGCTCACTTTAACTAGCCCTTACTACTTCGTTATTCTACGTCAATAAAGCTACCAAATTAGTAGAAGAACTCACAACGGGCGACCAGCCAGAGCCAGAATAGTGCACTTGTTCACCGCGGACTCCGAGCACTCGCGGCTGGCTCGGTCCGCAGATATCGGCGTCTAGGACGCCCACCTGTAAAATACGAAATGTCAAAACTTACCAAATACGCGTGTAAACGTGCGAATGGCAACACTTACAAAAGCATCCGTTACCATTACAACCTATTAAAGTCCACTGCTGAACATATGCCTCCCCATAGATTGCCTCATAGGAAGGATATTTGCCACAGCTGAAACTCATGGCAAGCGGGTTGGCAACCGCAGTTCTTTATTCTTAGTCGTTATTAGGACTTAAGCTCACGCTGCTTCTCATCTGATTTGTTTCCCTCTGTCGCCTCTTACGACAACCACGGGATGATATGTGGTAGTGGATATTACACCGCCACTACAAGGTAAGCAGCATAGAAGAAGGCTTTATCTACATTATCCAACGCACACGTATAAAACATTTTAGGCGTACTGTATCTGTGTATTACTATTTACTATTACTTGTGTTTGTGTAATTGAACCAACGTTGCGTTGGGTTATTCGTATCGTGTGAATGCAATATAGTTCAAGATCTATACTTTTTTTAGTTATGCCCTTTCTTGTGTCATTCATGTAAAAAACGGCCAATTTATTTTAAACTTTAATAATAAATAAATAAATAAATAATAAAATAGCCATTTAATTCCTCATTAATTACACTTAATAAATTTGTAACAAAAGGGCGAGGAGAGGAGAGGGCGCGGTAGCGCACGGTTAACATTAGGTCCGAAATAAAAGCAATTAAAAAGTAAAAATAGTGACTTTTATATAATAAGCAGTGATTCAAATGGAAAAGTATAAGAAACAAAATATAGTGAATATAAAAATCTAGTGAGAAAGTGCATAAATTTGTGAAAAATTTCGAAAACAATATATGTAACGATTCTGTGCGTAATGTCGTCGTAAGTACGCTCTGTACGTTTACTCTGTCAAAGTGAATCAAAACTCAAAAAGTGAAGTAAAGTTATAATAAGAACAAAAAGTTAAAAAGAAGTTGCACTACATAATATATCTAAAGTGAATTTAAAATAATATTAAAAAATAATAACCTCAAAATACCACAAAGTAGGTACACGTTTAATATTATATTTAAAAAAGACAGCCATCTATCGGGAAAGGACGAAAATTTTTCCTTAACTGCTAGTAAGTAAATACTGCAGCAAAGAGCGACATCTTGTGCCAAAATACGGTTATCAAAGTAACTATCTGCAAAACTGTGTGACCTCATTAATTGCATCAATAGAGGGCGTTTTACATATTTTTACATATAAACAATGGAAGAGCTAACTATAATGCTGAAAAATATTCAAGATGAAATTAAATTACAAAAAAACGAACTAAAGGATATGAAAGAGAGCATCACTAACACAATCAACGATAACATAAATGAAAAATTCTCAAATTTAGAAAGTCGTTATATCTTCATGGATAAAAAAATTCAAGAACAAGACGATCGCATAGAAATGATAGACAGACACCTAAGAAAAAAAAACATTATCCTCTTCGGTGTACAAGAAACTGAATACAATTATCACGACTTAGAAACAATTATTTTGAAAATATTTCATGATAATATGCAAGTCTCATGCGAAAAATCCGATATGGAATATTTTAGAAGAATTGGTAAAAAAGGAGAAAAGCCGAGACCTATAGTTATAACCCTTACAACCATGAGTAAAAAAATTGAATTGTTTAAAAACCGTCGAACTCTTGAAAAAACTTTATATTATATTAAAGAAGATTTTACACCAAAAATGTTAAAAACGAGAAAACTACTAATTCCAGAACTCAAACAAAAGATTGAAAAAGGAGAAAGAGCTATATTAAAATACGACAAAATTGTTATTGTAAAAAAGAAACGAGAACAGACAAGCAACACATATCAACCCAGTAACAAAAGAAATCTGTCCACATCCCCAGAAGAGCGCACTTCATTAGAAGATCAAAATAAAATCACTAAACAAATACCAAAGCGAAACAAGGTAAATATGAATCAATATATTACGAAATCATCAAGAAATCACTCTTCCATGCCACACAATCAAAATAACTGTGAATAGCAACTCGCGACAACCTCTCTACAAAATCCAATACGGCTTGTCACAGCGGAAAAATACGACTACAACCCTCCAGAGCAAAAACTATATGTATGCACCTATAACGCTAGGTCATTATTATCAGATGAAAGAATGATAGAATTTAAAGAGGCAATCAATCACCTTAAATACGATATCATCGGATTAGCAGAGATTAGAAGATCGGGAACAATAATAACAGAAGACCCTGAACATATCTTCTGCTACACAGGGGAGAGTACTGGGCAACGTGGAGTTGGCTTTCTAGTAAAAAAAAAGTTCAAAACAAATATAGAGAGTTTTATTGGTATTTCGGATAGAATATGCTTGCTCAACATGAATTTTGGTTATTTTAAAATTTCTCTAATTCAAATATATGCTCCAACTGGAGAAGCAAAACAAGAAATAGTCAAAACATTCTATAGACAAGTAAATGATGCATGTCAGTTAACAAATAAGTTTCTTATTGTTATGGGCGATTTCAATTCAAAAATAGGCTCTACTTGCGAGATAGAGAAACTAATCACAGGTAAATTCGGTTATGGAAAAAGAAATAGTAGAGGCCAAAAATTAATCGAATTCGCGTACCAAAACAAACTAACAATAATTAACACATTATTTAAGAAAAATTCGAAAACAAAATGGACCTGGATATCTCCTGATAAGAAGACAAAAAATGAGATAGACTATATTCTTTCAAATGCCCCCAAACAGTTTACAAATATAGAAGTCATTAATAATCTCAACTATCCCAGTGACCACAGGATGGTAAGAAGCACAATAAAAATAGCAAAATTAAAATCTAATAGCAGGGCAAATTACTGCAATACACCTAGCTTATTAACATCACAAAAAGAAATAGACATATATGTAGAGAATCTGAAAAAATGTAATTTGCTCTACCAAGAAAATGAAAGTGTAGATAATTACTACAAAAAAGTAGAGAACAACATAACAAGCTGTCTGGCAAAATCAAAAATAAAAATGAATACACGACAAAAAGATGTGTTGAGAGAAGAAACAAAATTGCTTATAAAAAGACGTCACAATTTACAAAATAAAAGACCATTGTCCCAAGAAGATAAAGAGGAGCTAAAAATGTTATATAAAAAAAACACATAAAGAAATTAAGAAAGACTACAAAGAACACAGGTTAGAAATAATAAGCAAACATATAATTACAACAGGAAGCACAAAAAGAGCATACAAACAGTTAAATGCCAGCAAACCTTGGATTATGTGCCTTAAGCAAACTCCAACATCAAAGATTCAATCAAGGACCGATATAGTGAACATCGCCACGACCTTCTATCAAAAACTTTATAGCGATACATCATCAACTGCTGTAGAATCTTATGAAAAAATGGAACTAAACCCAAACACAAAGGAAGTGGTGACCCCATTCAATGAAATTGGAATCATAAAGAAAATTGAAAAACTTAAAAACCATAAAAGTCCCGGACCAGACAATATCTCAAACGAGGCAATTAAAGCAGCTAAACAGGTATTAGCAACCCCATTTACAAATCTGTTCAACAAAATTCTTGAAACGCAAAAGCTACCGAAAAGCTGGTTGGCAAGTGATATTATACTACTATATAAGAAGGGAGATCCCACAGACGTCGGAAACTATAGGCCTATTAGCTTACTACCAACCGTTTATAAGCTTTTTCCTTCTTGTCTAGAAGAAAGATTAAGTCAAGCTATCGAAAAATATCAACCTATTGAACAAGCCGGCTTTCGTAAGAGATACTGTACCATCGATCATATTCACGTTGTAGAACAGATAATAGAAAAGTATAATGAATTTAGAAAACCACTCTATTTGGTGTTTATCGACTTTGCTAAAGCTTTCGACTCTATTTCACATAAAAGCATTTGGGAAGCTCTAGAAAACCAAAATATTCCCCAACAGTACATAAACATCCTAAAAAATATCTACCATGAGAGCACTAGTAGAGTCAAATTAGACCGATCTGGCCCGGCCTTCCCAATAAAAAGAGGAGTGAAGCAGGGAGATCCACTTTCACCAAAAATCTTTATAGCAGTATTGGAACACATCATTCAAGGCTTAAAATGGAGAAATAAGGGTATAAACATAAAAAGAAATTACCTTAGTCATCTTAGATTTGCAGATGATATAGTAATATTTTCCGAGTCGGCAAAACAGATAGAGTCAATGGTAAGCGAGTTAAACAACGCCAGTCAAAAGGTAGGCCTAGAATTAAACACTATTAAAACCAAAGTAATGACGAATAGAGCCCAAATACCTATAATTGTTAACAACATTCCATTAGAATATGTAGACGAATATGTGTATCTCGGTAAATTAATATCATTCAAAAGAACGAGACACGTTGACGAAATCAAACGAAGAATAATAAAAAGTTGGGGCAAATTTTGGTCCTATAAAGAGATCCTAAAATCCACTCTACCTATACATCTCAAAAAGAAAATAATAGACTCTTGTATACTGCCATGCCTCACTTATGGATGCCAAACATGGATATTTAATAAACACAGCAATGACAAGATCGCGAAATGTCAAAGACGAATGGAAAGGATAATTCTTAACATTAAATTGAAAGACAGAGTAAGGAACTCTGAATTAAGGAACAAGACAGAAATGGTAGACGTTCTCCACCACGGTCAGAGGTTGAAATGGCGTTGGGCAGGACATATAGCACGCATTTCAGACCAAAGATGGACAAAATCCGTGACAGAGTGGCAAGGACCAGCTGGAACACGTGCAAAAGGCAGGCCAAATGAAAGATGGGTAGACGAGGTGATGGCTATAGCGGGGTAAAACTGGATGAACAAGGCACAGGATAGACAGGTATGGGAAGCTCTGGAGGAGGCCTTTACCCGAAGAGGGGTCCTCAAATAACAGGTAAAATAAGTTAATATTAAACAAATATATCCTTACAATAATAAACAAGTTCTAAAAATGATTATGAATTTATGTAAAATT